ACACATTGAGACCGAAAGCCGGGGCCAAGGCTGGGGTTGTGGCTCAGTGGCAGAGCGCTTGCCTGGTACATGAGAGGCACTGGGTTTCATCCTCAGCTTCACATAAAAATACATAAAGGTATTGTGTCCATTTGCAACGAAAAAAGTGTTTTTATAAAAAGGTTATTTGTGGGAAAGTTTCTGCAAAGCAGGCCATCTGAAGGGCGCAGGACTGTCGAGACATTAGGGTCATCTTGTGCTGCTCAGAATTGCCAGTCCCAGGGAGCTGGTGCCTGAGCTGAAGGCCTGCAGCATCCTCCGGCCGGGGTGACCATAGCAACTGGGCCATCTTGACTGTACCTTCGCACAGGAAGTCCCCAGTGCTACACAGCCATGAGGTAATCAGGAGCCGTGGTTGGAGTCTGTACCATTGTCTGTTTTGGTGCCATACTATGCCATTTAAAAATATTTTTTTCAGTTGTAGGTAGACACAGGACCTTTATTTTATTTATTTATTTTTAGGTGGTGCTGAGGATCGAACCAGGGCCTTGCATGTGCTAGGCAAGTGCTCTACCGCTGGCCATTTGTGTTGCTGTAGCTCTGTAGAATAACTTAAACTCTGCAATTGTGATGCCTCTTGCTTCACTTTTCTTGCTAAGGATCGCTTTAGTTATTGTGGGTCTCTCATTTTTCCAATGAATTTCATGATTGCCTTTTCTGCTTCTATGAAGAATGTTGGTGGAATCTGAATAGGAATTGCATTTAATCTGTATCACGCTTCTGGTAGTGTGCCGTTTGGACAATGTTAATTCTGCCTGTCCAGGAGCATGGAGATCTGTCCATCTTCTAGGTCTTCTTCAATTCTTTCTTTAGTGTTCTATAGTTTTCATCGTAGAGGTCTTTTTCCTCCTTTGTTAGATTGATTCCCAAGTATTTTTTTTTTTTTGAGGCTGTTGTGAATGGGGTAGTTTTTCTAATTTCTCTTTCAGTGGGTTTATCACTGATGTATAGGGATGCGTTTGATTTATGGGTGTTAATTTCATATCCTGCTATTTTGCTGAATTTATTATTTCTAGAAGTTTTCTGGTGTACTTTTTTGAATCTTGTATATATAGCATCATGTCACGGGCAAATAGTGATAGTTTGAGTTCATCTTTTCCTGTTCATATCCTTTTAATTTCTTTCATCTGTCTGATTGCTCTGTCTAGAGAAAGGACTCTGTTGAATAGAAGTGGTGAAAGAGGGCATCCCTGTCTTCCTCAAGGGTTTAGAGGGAAGGCTTTCCATTTTTCTCCATTAGAATGATGCTGGCCGGGCTTGGCATACCTAGCTTTGAAGGTGTGAGATATGTTCTTATTATCCCTAGTT